GGGTTTGGGGCTTCGGGTCTAAGGTTTAGGCTTGCGGGTTCAGGGATTATAGGGGGCCTTTCACGGTGAGGGTTTATTGCTGGTTAGGGCTCAGGGCTTTTAGGCTTTGGATTGGAAGTAATGTCTGGGGCTGAGGTTCAACAACGTTTGGGTCTCAGGTCACGAATCTCCAGGGTTTTGGGTTAAGGCTAGGTTCACGGTTCAGGGTTTGCGGTTCAGGGATTAGGGTTTCGGGTCACGGGGTGTAGGGTTCAGACGATTTCTCTGTCTCAAAAACGCGAATTTGCGACACGTCTCAGCAAACAGCGCCTCATCCTTAAAGTTGAGGGTTTCAGATTTAGGGTTTAGGGGTTTAGGGTTTAGGATTTAGGGTTTAAGGCTAGGCTTTAGATTTTAGGGTTTAGGGTAGGGCTTTAGGGATTGGGGGCAACACGGTTTTCTAGGGTTAGGGTTTATAGGGTTAGGGGGTTTAGGGGTTCTAGGGTTTTACGGTTTGGGACAAGGTTCAGGGTTTAGGGTCTAAGGGCCTTTCACGGTGGGGGCTTGTGGTTGTTTAAGGTTCAGGGCTCACAGGCTTAGGTTAGGGTTTAACGTTTAGGTCTCAGTTACGGGTATCTAGGGTTTAGGGTTAAGGCTACATTCGCGCATTAAGGTTTTCCTGCGCATAGGCCACCAAGATGGCCTAAAGGTGTTCAGCCTGTCCAGTGAGGCTACGCCCTCCAGCTTGAGCTTCTTGACAAAGTAGAGGAGCTGGGAGACGTGATCTCTCACCTTGTGTTTGTTCTTGACCATCTCCAGCGCGTTCTGGAACTGGGCATAGAAGAACTGCTCGTTCTCGGTATTTGCTGGTCCAGCTGGAGGCCAAGCCACAGTTCGACTGGAAGCAGCTGAGGTCTGCATTAACAGAACTGCATCAGCAGGCACATGATGCACCACCCTGGCACTGGTCTGGATCAGTTCCACCAACTGCTGCTGAGGCTTCTTCCGTCTCGCCCACTTTAAACAAGCTCTTCTCACACGCGCCCACAGCTTGGCGGCCATCTTTTTCGTGGCCGGAGAGAGGACTTCATCTGGGAGCTCCAGCTTCTGCCCCAACATGTCTGCAACCATTCTCACCGCCGGCACTTTGCTGCGTTCATTACGATGCGCATTAAGGTTTAGGGTTCAGGGATTAGGGTCCAGGGTCAGGGGGTTTAGGGTTCAGGCTTTAGGGTTTTGGGGGTTTAGGGTTTAGTCGGGGTCAGGTTTCAGGGTGTTGGGTTTGGGTTCAGGGATTGGATTCTGGTTGACGAGGCCCGTTTTTCCGGGAAATAAATGCATGAGTTTTTCCCCTGAAAACAGGCTCCTGGGCTGGCATGTTTTCAGGGTCAATGTTCGCAGTTTTGGGGTTCGGGGTCCAAGACTTCAACAATTTATGGTGAAGGTTTTGGGCTTATAGGTGCTGCAGGTAGGGCACGTTTTTTCCGGGAAATAAATACATGAATATTTTCCCTAAAAATTGCGCCCTGGTCTGACATGCGCGTTTTTTGGGCTCGGGGGCCAAGACTCGAACGATTTAGGGTGAAGGTGTTGAGCTTACAGGCGTTGCAAGGTTAGGCCTAGGTTTGCGTCAGGGCATTTGGGGCTTGGGGTTAGGTTCACAAGTGGTTCACGGTTAATGGGTGGGCCTTCAGGGATTGGAGGTAACAGGGTTTTCTGGGGTTAGGATTTGGAATTAGGGGTTTAGGGGTAAGGGTGTGGGGCTGGGTTTGGGGTTGTGGTTGGAGGTTCAGGGATTACATGGGGGCCCTACAGGATGAGGGCTTAAGGATCAGGATCCTGGTAAGGGTCTAGGGTTCGGGGTTAGGGTTACGATTCAGGTCAAAGGTATGCAGCCCAGCGTTAGGGTTCACGGTTTGAGTGGGGGGGTCGAGGAATCAAAGCTCCTAAGCCGACGACACTTTTGGATTTTACAAGGCGAGCACCACCGCAACTATCAAAGGTCGAAGAATCAAAGTTCCGAAAACGACGACAGTCATGCGTTTTACGAGGCGAGCACGCACGCAACATTCAAGGGCCGAGGAATCACAAATCCAACAATGACGATGGTTGTGAATTTTACAATCAGCACAAGCCTGCTACTGTAAGGTGTCGAGGAATCACAAGTCCG